TTCAATATGCAAACTAAATGCTCATTTCCAGGTTGAGTGAAACCTTCAGGCTGCTGCATATAGATCTGTTCCTCTAAATCACCATGCAAAAAAGTAGTTTTAACATCCATCTGCTCTAAATGCAAATCCCAACTAGCCACCAATGTAAACCCTTTGCTACCAAATGATCCTTGAACTTCTCCCCCTCTTTTTCTGTTACTTCTAGTTTCTTCTTATACACCCATTTGCAACCAATAGGCTTCTTACCCTCAGGAAGGAGAACTAACTCCCATGTGCGATTGTGATTCAAAGACTTCATCTCCTCAACCATGGCAGCCATCCACTTATCGTTTTCCTGACTAGTAACAGCATCATGAAAAGTAACTGGATCATCACTGTTAACAGTAAGTGCAAAAAAGACCAAGTCTTCAAAACCCAATCATTTCGGAGGCTTTATATTCGTCCGTCTTACCCTGACTCTGGCGAGATTATAATCTTGCAAATTATCCATAGCGGAACCACCATAAGTCGGTTGAGAAGTTTTTGTTTTCTCAACTGGAAACTGCTCGAAATCCACCACTGTCGTGTCTTTCTTCTGCTGCAACATGGGTTGTTCATCAAAAACAACATCTCTACTTATCACAATTTTCTTCACAACTGGATCCTAGAACTTGAATCCTTTGACACCTTTCTTGTAACCCAGAAAAATGCACTCATTCAATTTTGCATCAAGTTTGGATCTCTCATCAATAGGTACATGCACATAAGCAGGACAACTAAAAATTCGTAAGTGATCAAAAGTAACATCATAACCAGTTCATACCTCTTCTGCAACTTTCCCAGCCAATGATGTCCTTGGCGATCTATTGATAAGATAACATGCCATGTTAACAGCCTCAGCCTAGAAGTGTTTGGGAAGCCCTGCATTCAACCGCAAACATCTGGCTCTTTCATTCAATGACTTGTTCATATGTTCCGTAATACCATTCTGTTATGGTGTCTTGTGCACTCTAAAATGCCTCTTTATCCCATGCTCCTTATAGTAGTTTAGAAACTCTGAATCTGTGTACTCTGTACCATTGTCAGACCGCAAACACTTGATTTTTCTTCCTGTTTGGTTTTCTACCTCAACTTTCCATAGGTTGAACTTCTAAAAAATGTCAGTCTTCTGTTTAAAAAAATACAACAAAACTTTCTGTGAAAAATCGTCAATGAAAGTAACATAATACCTAGATCCACCCAAAGATGATGTCGTAAAAGGCTCTCATACATTAGAATGCACATAATCAAGAATCCCTTCAGTTGTGTGCTTCCCAGTCTTGAAACGAACTTTAGTTTGTTTACCAAGAACACAATACTTGCAAAAATCGACCTTACAACTTTTAACACCATGCAACAAATTTCTTTTATGTAATTCAACCATACCATGTTCACTAAGATGAGCAAGATGCATATGACAAAGTTTAGTAGTATCATCACAAGACTCAACATAATGAACTCCACCTACAACGGTACTCCCTAACAATCTGTAAATATTCCCTGCAATCATCTTTCCTTTCATCACAGTCAAAGCTCCTTTAACAATCCGAATGGTTTCCCTATCCTCATCAGTCTTAGGGATAAAACCATTCTTGTGCAAAGTGCCCAAAGAAATCAAATTCTTCTTCAAATCTGGGATATACCGAACACCACACAACGTCCAAACATAACCATCATACATCTTAATTCTGACATCACCAATACCAACAATATTGCAACATCAATCATCACCCAAATAAACAGAACCAGAATTAACCGATCTGTATATCGAAAACCATTCCCTATTTGGCGTGATGTGATAAGAACATCCAGAATCAAGAATCCAAGCATCCGTCAATTGAGTCATTGAAATAGAGAGCATATCACCCTCACTGCAATCAGAATTGTCATCCTCGACCACATTCACAGACTTGGATGAGTCATCACGTTTCTCATCAGTATGCTTTTTCAACTTTGGACAATCTCGCTTCATATGTCTCACCTCCTTACACTTGTAATAGTGAATTGTCTTCTTATCCCTATATTTGGATCTGAAATTCCGCTTCTCAAACTCTGCCTTCTCTGGCTTTCGTTCATTACCCTTGACATATAAGCTATCAGCTTGAGAGCTTTCCCCTGCATTCTGCTTCCGCTGGTTGTGAGCCAACAATTCTGTAATAATCTCCTCAACTTTGATAGTATCTTTCCCATATGTAAGAGTAGTCACCATGTGTTCATAAAAGGGAGGCAACAAACACAACAGAATCATCGCTCTGTCTTCATCCTCAATTTTCACATCAAGCCGATCCAAATCAGAAACGATTTGATTAAAGACATTCACGTGTTGCGCCAAATCATGATCATCCTGCATCTTCAGCCCATACAGTCGCTGCTTTAGATACAGTTTAGTCGTTAAGGATTTGGACATAAACTGACTTTCTAACTTCTTCTAAATTTTATCTAGAGACGACAGATACATGACGTGATACATGAGCTCGTCTGCCAAACATAATCGTATGGTTCATGCCGCTCACTATTGCAATTCTTCTCAATCTTCCTCCTCCATCGACACCGGCTTTGTAGGTCGCAAAGCCTTCAGGACCCCTTGCTGACCTAACATATCCTTTACCCTTGTTTGCCATAATCCAAAGTTACTCTGACTATCGAATTTAGTAACTTCGAATTTGGCTCCTGGCTCTGATACCAATTGATGAATAATCGGGTAAAGAAAACAGAAAGACCACAAGAATTTTAACGAGGTTCAGCAATGTACTTACGTCCTCGGTGCCCTAGGCGGCGCTAGAATTTTTTATTCAATTCAATTCAATATCTCATAGGTTTAGGTTACATCTCCTTTTATAATAAATAAACCTTAGTATATATTTACAAAAATAACCCTATACCATATCGCGGGGGCCGCAACCCCTGTTACCCCAACTCATATAATCGTAACCCTCTCTACGAGACTTTCCTTTACCGATATATTTATAAGCCATACCTAACAGTGTTCTACCCATTCTTCAAGTTTCCTCAACTTATTTTTATAGGTTGGAATGTATTTGTGGTCGTTTCTATCAGTTGGAGATGATTTGGAGCCGTTGGGGAATATTTTTCTATAAAATAAAACTGCCCAGGACAGGGAGTATCGGTACTCCTTTAATGAGTATCGGTACTACCTTTATAATATTTAAATAAACTAGTTGTTACTAGCCGTTGGGCCTGACCAGTATCGATACTATACTCATGGTATCGATACCACTGTGTAAAATAGTATCGGTACCCCCTTGAGTATCGGTACCTATTTTGTATTCTAGAATTTGTGCAATTTGGAAAACAACTGGTAGTATAGATACTACCTAGAGAGTAGCGATACTTCTCTTACCTTTGGTATTGGTACCACATGAATAATATCGATATTATTCATGTAGTATCGATACTGTAAGAACAGTATCAGTACTACGTACCCAGAAAAACTGTTTTGTGCTCAAATTCTATTTTAATGGACTTTGAATTATTTTTGAAAACTTTTGAAAACTTTGAACAAATTCAATTAAAGTCCAAAAATATTTTGCCTTAATTTGTTATATCAAAATATTATAAAACATGGTTCGACACTTATCTCTTTCTTTCTTAGAGGGCTAAATACTTTGTTAGATTTAATGGTTTTGGATGTGGTCAACCAAAAATATAAATATTAAGAAACAAGCTTTCAATAAGAAAAATAATATATTATGAAACTAACTTCATCGAACTATTATCGTCATAGATTTGAGCATTAGATGATTAAAATTTTAACTTGATTTTCATTGACTTTGAATGAATTTTGAGAAAAACAAAATTATTGAGAAGAAAATGAGGGATAAAAGGTAAACATTGTAGTACCATCTATGTCATGTATGTTGGTATATAATAATTGATAGGATTTGAGATCATTTTACAAAAGGAAAAAATCACATCATAAAGCGTGTTAAAATATTAACGATTTGATGACTAAAAATGAATTAAAAAACTTTAGTACTATAATTTTAGCTTTTTATAGCTCAATGATCAAAACAAAAATATGGTCAAAGTTTAATACTTAAGAATGCTTTTTACCTTTTAAAAGAAGCAATCACAAAATTAAGCATGATAAAGGGACAAAATGAGAACTCGACTTTTAAGATTTATATCAAATTAGGACTAAATTAAGAGAATATATAAATAGTAAGGAATTAAATATGTGATTATATCAAAATATTTAACTCTTGTTAACGGTAGTTAACTCGGGGTGACCACATCTTAATTAAATCAAAACGAAAGCGACTATATCTTAATTAAATAAAAACGAAAGTGATCATATTTTATGTTTTTTTTAAATCAATGACCAAAAGTAGACAAATCACAAATATAAGTGATCATTTGTGTAGTTAACCATATAATATAATAAATCTACAATTATTTTTCTTTCTGTAAATTACTTATTTAGTTATCAAACTATTCATGTAATTTTGTTTTGATTATTTAATTATTTTTTAATCATTATTAACATTATGTTTTAATTTTATTTTAATCGTCTTTCATTAAAATATTATAGATGATGTTGATGTATCTTCATAAGATAATGTCATATCATTATTAAAAAAATAAAATATCATGTTAATAGTCTCGTTAATTTTTTTAATAGTAAATAATTAAAATGAAATTAAAACATAACATTAATAATGATTTTAAAAATTTTAAAAACAAATAGTGTGGTGATTAAAATGAAACCTAAGTTATAGTTGGATAATTTAGCTTAGTTTACCCTTTTATCCTTTGCAGACACTCTTTATTCTCTTGTTTTCTTTTCTCCCCATCTTTTTCTTCTTTTCAATGGTTGCGACTCATCTTTTTCTCTAACATCTGTTGGCTGCGGCTCTTCCAAGGCAAGTTAACCGTGAATTAGCGTTTCCATTTTTTACTTTTTCGTAATTTTCGGCACCAACCCTCTTTCATCACCTTCTAGTTAGAACTCTAAACCCAGAAACTCGGACAAATCTCGAGGTAGGATGAAACCGCCATTGAAATTTGATTCCTTTAGAACAGAACCAGAATCAGAACAAGAATCAATGAAGACAACTTAGATTCCTTGTTCAACTTAGATTCCTTGTTCAACCCAGATTCAAAACTTTTCGGTTCCAAGCTCTTAACACTAAAAGTTACCTACTTTCAGACATCCTCGCCTCTGCTGTCTTTCACAATGAACAAAGGCAGCTCGAATGGCCCCAAAATTCACGCTTTACCAATCTTAATGATCCTGTTTTTCACCATCTTTCCCCCATTCTGCCCTCAAAATTCCACCCCCTTTGCCCGTTTTACCCATCCCTTCATCCCCTCAGCTCGAATGGCAACTCTCTTCGATGGCACTCTTTCTACACTTTGGACCCAACACATTCACCGACTCAGATTGGGGAACGGGCCATGTCAACCCGACCCGACTCAACTCTTCTCAGTGGGTACACGTGGCCAAGGAAGCTGGATTTTCTAGGCTGATCCTCACTGCAAAGCACCATGATGGCTTCTGCTTGTGGCCGAGTGAGTACACGGATTACTCTGTGAAGGCCAGTCCTTGGAGAAACGGAGACGGCGATGTTGTTGCTGAGTTGGCGTCGGCCGCTAAGGAAGCTAGTATTGCGTTGGGTCTTTATTTGTCTCCATGGGATAGGCATGAGTATTGCTATGGGAAGACTGTGGAATGCAATGAATTCTATATGGGGCAGATGACTGAGTTGTTGACTAGGTAACTCACCGAGTCTTCTCTTGTTTGCTTGTCCTAATATTGAATTCTACTATATGGGATGACTTCAGCTTTCTCTTTGCCTTCTTTGGTTCTTCTTGTAAGGTAATTGTTCTCTCTGATTTTTTTTTATTGATTTATGTCCATATGAAGTATGTTTGCATATGCACCATGATTGGTTTTGTTCGTTGTAAATTATCTGATGGTGTAGGTTAATTTTCAATTTAGTTCGGCCTTGCTTTTTCTTTCATATTTCAAGATTTCTTGTTAATTTTTTGTCATTCTAGTTACTATGGCATTACGTGAATCCTTTTTTTCATACTTCTGTTCTTCCATCTGAGGTTGTCTGAATTGAGAAGGGAGTAGTATTAAATTTCCGGTTTCGAATTTAAGCAGGTATGGAGATATCAAGGAAGTATGGTTGGATGGTGCCAAAGGGGAGGGGGGAAAGGATATGGAATATTACTTCGATACATGGTTTAGTCTCATTCGTCAGCTCCAACCAGGGGCTGTCATCTACTCTGATGCTGGTCCTGACACCAGGTGGATTGGCGATGAGGCTGGTGTCGCCGGTTCTACTTGTTGGTCTATTTTCAATCGAAGCAATGCTGCAATTGGTGGAACTGATCCTCAGTAAGAATATATTCCCATTTTATAGTTTAGGCCTTTTGTCCCGAAACTGCCTCGTGATTGTGTTCTTGCCAACAACAAAATTCTCCATGAAGTCGGGGCATGCTTGCTTTGGATCATCAACAAGTCAATTTCTTTTGTTCTTTTTGGAAGCGGACTAGTATCTCTAGATTTATAAATTTATATTTTATTTTCTAACAGATACTCCCAAGGAGGAGACCCTCTTGGTCACGACTGGGTACCTGCTGAGTGTGATGTCTCAATCAGGCCGGGTTGGTTTTGGCATGCATCTCTGGTGCCAAAGTCGGCATTTAAGCTTCTTGACATATACTACAAATCAGCTGGTCGAAATTGTCTTTTGTTGCTAAACGTGCCCCCAAATTCTTCCGGTCTTATTTCTGATGAAGATATACAGGTACTCCAAGAATTCAAGGAACTTCGGAGGTCTATATTCTCCAATAATTTGGCGGATAATGGTCTACTAAATGCTAGCAGTATACGAGGGGGCAATGGTAACTCTCAGTTCAGTCCGTATTATGTCCTTGAAGAAAGTATTGGCACTTATTGGGGTCCTGAGGAGGATCAATGTGATTGGGAATTATATTTAGACCTTGGAGAATCCATAACTTTCAATGTTTAACAAGTTCGAGAGCCGATTCACATTGGACAACGTATCTTGAAGTTCCATGTTGAGATCCTAAGTAGAGGTAGATGGAAGAATGTGATTAATGGCACAACAGTGGGATATAAAAGATTGCTGCAATTTCCTACAGTTCAGTCTCAGTACTTGAAGTTTGTCATCGACAAGTCTCGAGCCGATCCTCTAATTTCTTCCGTGGGGATCCATGTGGATTGATTCTCGATTCTGAGCCGTGCATCTAATACAACCTCACAAACATATGTCAATGGCAGTCAAGTCCTTCAGCTACATCCATACAACCGTTCCCAAACCGGCCCAGTTCAGTACATGTAATTTCAAGCTGCAATCGTTGCTCGGGTGAGTGTTCAAAATTACTACCAAACTTGGTGCATCTTCAAAATGCCAAATAGCTACTGTGTTCTTATAGGCAAAAACATGGTTTCTCCAGCGTTGAGTCTTGATATTTATGTTGAAGTAAAGCTCAAGTGTTGCTGCAAGGGTCTGTCACTATATTTCACAAGTCCCCGTTTCGGAAATGTTTTTAGAGGTGGAAAAGTGCTTTTCCGTCCCATAAGTAACGTCAAACACGCTAAAGTTACTCCAAAAGTCATGGCTTAAAAAGTGATTTTCCAAAAGCTAAAATTTCTAACTGTAGTAGTGGAAAATCAATCGTAGAATGAAATTACATTTTTATCCCCAATTATTTATTTTTAACTAGTTTTTAAACTAATACTATTAGATATAAGTTGATAGAACTTTATATATATATAATCATCTAAAGTTTTTTCTTTAATATAAAATAATATATTTTTATACTGTTTATGCTGAGCATACACTTATTTTATTTTAAATTCATTTTGAACATGTAATGATTATTTTGTATATAATTTCAACATTTAAAATATATTTTATATATTTAAATTAGATTTTACAAATAATATAGGCTATAAACAACTAATTTATACCGTTGTAAATAATTATAGAAAATTTCTTATTGAAAATTTGTTGGGATCAAATATTGGCAAGCATAATTTATAACCCAAGACATATTAATTACTTAGAAATATTTAAACATTTATACTTGTAAAAGAAAGACATAATTTAGAGATTGTTGTGTTTATTTAAGTCAACAATTCATATTTTTTTTCTTAGCATAAATGTCAAATATATTTTTTCATTTAAGTTAACAATTCATATTAACTACTTAGAAATATTTAAAATTTATATTTTATATATATATTTTTTAGTGTTCATTACTTGGGAGAGACTTTGTCTGCCGCCTTGGACGGTGTTAGTTTCCCCTGCATCCAGTTCTTCAGCATCTGTAACGAAGCTTTCGGTTGATCCATCGGAACCATGTGTCCAGCATTATGTACCTGCCATTAATTTTTTTTTTTTTTGGTTTCTCAGTTGTAAGCATTAAAAAGGGCAAAAAGAAGCATGTGCAGATGCATGCAGGCTGGTTGAACCTTGAGGAAACTGAGAGGACCATGGCTTTTCAGTTGTCCAGCTTCAACACCGTCAACTACAAATGGAACCGTCGGAGCTACCCCGAACTTTTTCTGTCCCGACCACGCCATAGCATGAACCCAGTTCGAATTCCCTGCACCCAAGTGAGTTTAGCAGAGTGAACAATGTACATTCTTTCTTTCAAATTTTAAGGTGAAGAGCCTCACCAATCCAGTTGCATATAAGATCATACTCTCCTGCATATACAAGCACCCTGATACCATCCTCAAGAAGAGCAGGTATGCCAACTTCATAATTCCTCATCCAGTCCGTAACCATGGCGTCGTATGCCGTAGAGCTGCATAACACGAAATCTCTATTTCCGACCCCTAAGGCATCCTGAACCGACTTCAGATTGAGGAACTTCTCTACCGCTGAGAAATCATAGCACACATCTCTTTGGCACTTCTTTCTAATGTCATTGTACTGCACATCATCATAAATTCCACAACTCAGAATTGTGTTTTCTACTTTCGCTTTCCATCATAATAGATAACAAGGGTATATGTGCTATCTTACATTTAAATCACCAGCGATGCTCATGATCTGATTAAATATGCTGGTGCAAACATCATAAGCATCCTCACAAGCATCTCCACCTTTAGAGTCTGCAATGGCAGTTCACACCAATAAATATCAAATCACAAAAACAAGTGCATAGACGTTGATTTCAATCTTTTAGTGCTGCAAAGAATTAAGTACCGCAGCTTCTGGTTGACTGCACGCATGAAGGGACAGACTTTTTGATACTGACATAATCAGAATGCGTAATTATACTTGTGTTCAAAGCGTAATCTGGGTATGCTTGATACTGGATTTCAGGGTTTGTTAGCCCATTTCCAATGGCAAAACCCTGTTCCAACATTCAAATGATTAATTCTCCATCAAATGGGATGGATGGAGTTTAAGGGATATGCACCTTCAAGTTGACATGGATTCCCTCTTTTGCTTTGTTTCCCTGGTGAACTCGGACAGCAAATGCCGGAATATAGTGTCCAGCATACGATTCTCCGGTTATGTAAAAGTCGTTCTCAACGTACTTGGGATGCTTCTTGAAAAATTCCTGAAAGTACACAAAGACAGTTTAGCTGATCTTGAACGCTTCTGTTTGGAAAGGAATGTAACAAACAGACCTGCAAGAAGTCGTATAAATCGTTGCTGACACTGGTCTCGTTGTGGCGAATGTCCTTATCGTCGGTCGTATAACTGAAACCGGTTCCGGTGGGCTGATCTACAAACAAGATGTTCGATGCCTTGTCCCAACCGTAGTCATTCCATACAAGTGACAAGTTTTTGGAAAGATGGAAAGGACCATTTTCATAGAACAATGCTAATTCACTGCTGCATCCTGGACCTCCAGTCAACCAAATCACCACAGGGTCCTTTTTGCTGTTCCGAGATTCGAAGAAAAAGTAAAACATCCTGTAGAAGAAATAAGGCATTTTCAAACCAAGGTATGTCAATAAATTCCTCATGTGTAAACAAATTTTAGACGTGCAATCATTTTCATAGTTTCACATGCAGATTATAGCTCCTAGAACTAGCTAAATATAATGCGCCTATGAAGTCAACTGAATCTAGAACTTTAGATCTAAGTTTCATATAATTGCAATTGCATGTTCTTCATTTAGCAGAGAAGCGTTCACATGTAGGAATACATTGAACACTCGCATCATATACAACCTGTTTCTGAATTTAAATAATATGAAAGAAGGAATGGGATAAAGTTGATATCCTTAGTGTAGATTGAAAATAAAATAGCAGAAACGTGGTTTTACACACACATGCTTTTATGTCAGAGAAATCAACTAAAATATTAAGGAATGAGAAACTTATACAATTTTAGGCATGAAAACAAATTATCAATAAAAAATACAAAGAATATACATAAAATATATGATAATTTAAAATTCCCAGGGCGATGAGTGTTCCCAACTAGATATTTTCGATCGCGTTGTGCTTGCATTGCGGACATAATAGATGTTATTGTGGTCAGGGAGTATTATGATTGTGAATTTTTTTTAAAGGAATTGATTTTTAAAATAAAAGAGCTGATTTTATTTTTATAAATAGAAAAATAGCAGAATAGTTGTATGTTATTGTCATAATTGACCGTTACTCATAAAATTGTGGCTGCGATCTACTTTTATTATTGTGATTTTGCTTCACACAACTATTTTTCATAATAACAGGTTTGGACGACGACGTTATGGCTATATAATAATCGCTATTTTGCTATCGGACCGCTATTTGAATCCTTGTTCTCAACCGTCCCTGGGTCATCCCTGGTTTTAATTACAGATCCAAAACACAGAAGCTAATACTTAACGGAGTATTTGTATACATGGAACACATGGGGTTACCTTGCAGCAATAGCATGTGGAAGTTTAAAGTACCCAGCATGGTGACCAAGCTCCTGTACCGAAGGCCCTGGACCTCCGGCCACAGGGAACCTGAATTGCTTTTCAACAATCCTGGAAGACTCGTCTTCAACCTCATTGCTGCCACCATTAACAGCCTCTTTTGGTGATAAGTTCAGTCCTTTTATGAGCTTCTCAGCCTGTAACTTTGCCAGCCTTGAACTTGAAGGTTTAGCATAGAATGCTGAAAAGAGCATAAAAAGAGAAAGTAAAAGGAGTTTTTGAGATGAAGTAGAGGCCATTTCTTTTTTGTGGGCAGATGAATTATCAAGGTGTCGTTTGGTTTATATAGATGATAAGTGTTTAATTTAATTAATATTTTCCTTTTAAATTACTCTTTAATCATTGGTTTTTGTGATTTATTTGTTCGTTTTGATTCATTTGGTTTGGTTTGGTTTACATAGATAATAAGTGCTTAATTTAATTAATATTTTGCTTTTAAATTACTCATTAATCATTGGTTTTTGTGGTTTATTTATTCGTTTTGATTCATTTTTTATACAGGACGTTAGATTCTGGAAATTGCACAAAAAATATAGAATTTTGTAGTTTTTTTTTAATTTTTGGAATCAAAGCTGAATTAGTGGGCATGAATTCGGGCATGAAACATCCGACGAGGATATGACGTCAGCACATTCTAGAAGATCCAGTCATCGTTTCTAGAAGCACGAATGGATTGACCGCACGTTTCTGCAATTCGGATTTAAATTAAACTCAAGTTTTAGGATAATATTTTTTATCTTTATTTTAGGAATTTTAGTTTCAATAGGTTTTTAGTATTTTAATTAAGTTTTAGGATAATATTTTAAATATTATATTTTATCTTTGCATTTTAGTTTAAATAGGTTTTAGTATTTTAATTAAGATTTAGGATATTATTTTAAATAGTATTTTATTTTATATTTGTTTTATGTATTTTAGTTTAAATAGCTTTTAAGAGTTTTAATTAAGATTTAAGTTATTATTTTATGAATTATTTTTAGCTTGGTTTTAGGAATTTGAAGTTATAAATATCCTCTAAGGATAAGCTTAGAAACATATCTCACTTATTTGAGAATTAAATATCTTTTTCTCTCTTGCTTTCTCTCTTGCGCCAACTTCTTTTATTTTCCTTTAAATTTTCTTTTCAATTATGCTAAGTATAACATTGGTCATGCTTAGCTAATTTTCTCTCAAGCCGAAGACTGAAGCGAAGGCTTAATCCCAAACGTGAGAATTGTAAGGTACTTAAATCGCTTTGGATTTTCTCTATGTTTTCTGAGCTTGCTTTTCAAATCAAAACAATTTCTTCATTGGTCCGAATATTGTTATGGTTAACATTTGAAGAAGGATTTGTTTATTGAAGTATATTCAACTTCCCGAGAACACACTTAGCAAAATTGTTTGCTAAAAGGAAACTAAGATCGGAATCAGTTATTGTTGAAACGACACAATCCAAGTTAGCAGCAAAGAATTGTCCTTGTAAGTCGACGTGAATCTTGAAGTAAAAATATGTTTTGATGATCCGAGGAATTTGAGGTAAAGTTGAAGTTTGAGGCTGCTTTCACAATAAGTTTTCATTATCCCAATTTAGTTATTTTATTTAATTGTTTATTTAATTATTTATTTGATTATACTTCTTTAAACAATTTAAACCCCTTTTTTAATATTTATTACTATTAATATTTATTATTTTATTATTTTCTTTTTATTTATTATTATCTATTTTATTTAATTAAATCTTTTTAACTTTACCTGGAATTTTATTTTTTTCCTAAAATCAAGAAAATGCTTTATTAAATCACAAAAATTATAGTTTCTGTTGATCGACACTACTTCTCTATACTAACTTTTCCTTTCTATTTAATTAAAAAGTCGAAATTATTTTGATAACAAATCGACGATTATCAATAGAGTTTGATTTAAAAAAATCGGCTTGATATGGCAACAAATCCAAATAAGAAAGGAAAAAAATTAAAGAAAATTAACGGTCACCACTCATCATTGCCGGCTCTTCACCTTATGTGAAACAACCCATGAACATTAATGATTTGGATTCCAGTTGCCTTCCAAAATTTTGGTTGCAAATAAATTACATTCGTGAACAAGGAAAGTGGTGTATCAAGATTTTGTCTATGACATATTTAGCTTCATGTATCTGGAATAACTTAAAATCTTCATCTTTATAACTCATCGTATGATTTTAGTGATTAAAGAGAGTATTGTTCTCCCTAAGTTATAGATTCAAATAGTAGCATTTAAAATACATGTGTGCGTTATCAATAATTAAGAAATATTATGAATAGATATTACCTTATATAATCAGCACAAATTATTTTAAAAAAACCCATAACTCTTGAAATCTTTGCAATAATCTATATAAATTCATCTATTTATACCTCTTTTGAATTAAAAACTAAAACCTTCCATTAAACCTCTTATTCATAAAAAATTATAAATCATTAATTCAGATGACTTGCCTGGATTTTTTTTTTTCTGCATGTTTTTTTAAAGAATTTTTCCCGTGTCTTTTCTTTTGCAATCGTTTTACATTCGTTATTATCGTGTTTTATCATAATAACTAATCCAAATTTTATGAATAGGCTAACTCCATTTTTCTGTCTGCCTGTGTACAAGATCCATGTTTGCTTGTACATAAAAAAATTTCTTTGAAGAACCTAGTCTTAACATGCTTTGCTTTTGACATTTGTCTTCGTTTATAATCATCTTTTTTTTTTCCGAATCGAGAATAGGGATAAAGGAGCTTTCAAGGCAAGGTTAGGAAACAACATTAATGTTGCGTACAAGACATCATAAACACAAAACATGACAAAACTACCTCAATGAAGCGAAAGGAACATGGGATCTTCCGAAAGACAACAAGTGTGACCCCGCCATCTCGGATAATGCCCTAACAAGAGCGTGTTCATTGATAGCTTCACAGCTCACATGATGTTCTAACTTCAAAATTGTGTCATGTGAATCACAACTTTACTTTTTTTTTACAGAACCAACTTTTGGAATTTATTGCCTGATTTGGTAGCAGGATGATTGAAACCAGAAACAGTCGTAAAAGTAAAGGGTAAACTACACGGGTGACCACTCAACTATGGTCAAAGATCATTTTGACCACCGATGTTTTAATTTGATCAAACAGACCACTCAACTATTTAAATGGTTCAATCAAACCACTAGCCGTTAACTTTTAACGGTGGAGGTGACGTGACAGTTAAAATTTAACGAGACAATGACTCCTTAGTTAACTTTTTGGTAGAATTATATAGTTGGTCATTGTTACTTACCCAATATGTCAATTTGATTCTAATTTTAGTTCAATTAAATAAATTTAATCATCTAATTAAATTATGACATGTGTTAGTCTCTAATTGAAAGGTTAAGTTTATTTTAATTTATTTTTAATTTAACAGATTTATTTTTCTCCAATCACTTTCACTAACTGCAGATACTTCCGCTACTTGTCTCCCTGAACTCTTCAAGTAATCTCCACCGCACTTATCATTGCAGTATCAGTTCACACGAGCAACTCAATCTCATGCTTAGGGGACCCCAAATTATGTTATTTTTCCAGTCCCTCTCCATATACAGAAAGGCTTTTTCATCTAATCTTGAATCTCAAATTGGCACTGTTGCCGAGGACTAACGGCAAATACTGATTTATTTTTCTTTGTTTTTGATTTATGGCCAGAAGGAACCCGGGAGAATTAGTAGATCTTGACCCGGAGATCGAAGTACGAGCACGAAGAATCCACGCAAAAACGCTTCGAGAAAAAAAAAAGACAAGAAGAGCATAGTTCATAAATGTAATCAAATCCGAAGACAAACTCTGAAGCACACACATATAACGAAGATCAAAACCCGATGATAGAAGAAAAACAAATGATCTGAGAGCTAGCCACAACTCCTGTCACTCAAACACCATTATGCATTACATTTCCTAATGGCGATACTCTATTTCAATTAAAGACGGGACTTATTCATCTTCTTCTCACTTTCCACGGCCTTCCCAATGAAAATCCGCACAAACACTTGTTGGAATTCTACATGGTTTGCACTAGCATGAAACCATAAGGAGTTACCGAAGATGAAATTAAATTGAGAACTTTCCCTTTCTCTTTAGCTGGCTTGGCTAAAGATTGGTTATTTTATTTACCTCAAAATTCAGTTAATTCATGAGCTGACATGAGTCGAATTTTTCTTGATAGGTTCTTCCCAGCGGCTAAAGCAAGCGAGTTACGAAGAAACATTCTCTTCATTACGTCATATTTATTTAGTTCATACTAAATCGTATATTATTTAAGGATCCTATAATCCTCATCAGTTAAAACGTATTCCATTCACAATTATCTTAATTATTTTTAGTATGCCTAACATACATATCTTTCTTTATATTTTCTTTTTCACTTTTATCTCTTTAGTCATTATTTTGTATTTTCATTGAGAGCATCCATTCATACTTATAATTCACCATTATACATTTTAATTATGGCATCTCTTCATGCCCTTTTATACGCTATTATACATTTAATTTATGCCATCCTTTCATGCCTTTTATACACTATTATACATTTCATTTATGACATCCTTTCATGTCTTTTATACACTATTATACATTTCATTTATGACATCCTTTCATGCCTTTTATACACTATTATACATTGTTATACATCTAGTTTTTTTTTCTCAAATGCATTTAACCTTTCATCTAACTGGCATGATTGACACATTTCTGTCAAAAGCACAGCTAGCTATTAATCTTTTACTCTAAGGTATTTAACTTTTCATCTAAATGACATAATTGACACATTTCCCTCAAAGTATTATATTCTATTACTTATATATAATATCAATTAACTCTTTTTAATTTATTATAACCCTTATACATTTTCACCTTTAGTGCTAACATGGTAATTTACCAACTTTCTATTCATGTTCAATTATTAAGATGCACACGTAGTGCCTATACGGTAGTTCATCAACTCTTGATGAATTATGTGGGTTACACACATCGTGCATGTACGGTTATTCATAAACTAATGTTGAATTCTGTGAAATGCACACTTAGTGCCGAAACGGTTATTTATCCACATAGGATGAATTATGTGGAATGCACACTTAGTGTCGAAATGGTTATTCATCCACATATGATGAATTTCGTGGAATGCACACTTAGTGTCGAAACAATTATTCATCCATATAGGATGAATTCTGTGATATGCACACTCAGTGTCGAAACAGTTATTCATCCA